TATATTATTTTATTTTGGAGGCATTTAGGTGGCTCAATGAATAGAGTGCTGGGCCTGGGGTCAGGAAGACAAGTTCAAATCCAGCCTCAGACACTTACTAACTGTGTGATCCTGGGCAAGTCACTTAATCTTTGTTGGCCTTAATCCACTGGAGAAGGAAATGGCAAATCACCCCAGTATCCTTGCCAAGAAAACCCCAGGGAAGGTATTAGCATGCTATAATCCAAGGGGTCACGAAGCACCTGACACAACTGAACCATTGAACAACAACATATTTTATTTCGTTCACGTAAAAACAATCTCAGAAGGGGTATAAAGGCTTCATCAGGCTGCCGAAGGAGTCACACAGAAAGGTAAGAACGCCTGATCTAGAAGATCTGAGCCTGAGGCTCTTGAACTTGGTAGCTTAAAATTGGGGTTACCCGCAAGGCAACCTTAGCATCAGGCTGATACTGCCCAGGATATCTCCTTTCTCTGGCTAGTACCTTAGATCCTAGAATCATGATGCTCAGGAACTTGAAAATCCCCTCTCCTAGGGGAGTTTGGGGATACAGAACGTCGTTCATGAATTACCCTCTTAGTTCACATGCCCATTTTTGCTACATCTTCCTGTAGAAACTCTATCAGCACTGCCCCCCACCCTCCCAGCCCCTTCCCATCTTTGGGCTGAGAATGACCATTCTCAGTTCTCTGACATTTACAGGAAGCTGTGAGGAGTCCTGTGCCATTCTGAGATGTCTCTGCTTCGCGGCTGCCATCACCATCACCATCACCACGGAAGGGCAGCAGGGTGTGTATGCCTGTACTGTCCTCATTAAGGTAGACACATGTGCTTGACTGGTCTTTGTTCTATCTTCTGAATAGGAAAAAGGTTAAAAGATGTGTCTGGGAAGAGCGGACAAGGTGCTAATGAACCAAGTTCATACTCAGTAGGAGGGAAATTGTACTCAAACTTATTATATATGTGTATGTATGTATGCATATATGTATGTTTTATATATTACATATATGCTACATATCCATTATATACTTCGTATTTGCTTATATTAATTCACGTAATTTCTGCAAGTATTACAGCTCCTTTGAGGACAAGTTTGTTGTCCTTATATTGAGGGTCTGGCATATAAGGATAGGAACTATATTTGTGATTTCTTAGGTATAGGAAATCCTACATGAGGAAAATCCCTCTACCAATGCACATGGGCACACTTAAGGCCCTAGGAGGTTTAGTGACTTGGCTAGGATCTTAGAGGCAGGACTTGAACCCAGGGCTTCCTGACCTGAAAGTCAGTTCTCTATCCGCTATAAGATGTCTAATGTCTGACATGTAATAGGCCCTTAACAAATGTTAGTTAAATTGAGTTGAACTTTTGAATCCTACTGTGTTTTATAAATGACCATGAGCAAATCACTTTGCCTCTATGGGATTAATTTTGTATATAAAATTATCAGGTTGGGCAACGTAATTCCCAAGGTGCCTTCTAGCTCAAATATTCAGTAAATTTATGATCAGTCAACATGTTGTAACCCATTACATTATTTCATGAAAAAGGGATCCCTAGGTTTTTAGTAGCAGTGCTAAGACCTTTGGGAATTGCAGGGATGCCCATCAATTGGGGAATGGCTGAACAAGTTGTGGTTTGTGATGGAATACTTCTGTGACATAAGAAATGATGAGCTCAATGATCTTAGAAAAACATGAATAAACTTGCATGAAATGATGAAGAGTGAAATAAGCAGAACCAGGAGAATGCTTACATAGTAACAGCAATATTGTTTTAAGAACAACTTTGAGTGACTAAATCATTTTGACTATTATGAGTGCCCAAATTAACTACAAAGGACATATGAAGGAAGGTGCTATCTGCATCCAGAGAAAGAACTGATAAATAGAAGTATGTATAGAATGGTTTAGTATGTACATATACACACACACATATTTGTGTCTAATGGTACCATCTCTAGGGGAGGGGGGAAGGAAAGAAGAAAAAGAAAAAGAAAGAAATTTACCCAATAACTTTATTATATGTTTAAAAGGAATAGCAAGTTGTCCATAATAGATTTGCAGTTTCAGGTGCAATCTTTTTTTTTAATGCCATGATATGGAAATGCTTATTTTATTCCATAAATTAAAAATAAAATTAATTAATTAAAAAAAGACCCATGGTCTTCATTAGGGATGAAGAAGCTGGGGTGGGACATGGTTCATGGAAGATGTCCCGGAAGTCCCCCTTGTTCAAAGATACTTCTTTCTCACATTCCAACTATTGGAAATTATTTTAGGTTAACAAACTCTTCTTTTAAAAATTCAGTCATCCCCTGGGAGTATTAAGCCTGCTGGTGTTTGTACCTCAGGAAAAGAGAATTTCGCCTAATTAATTTTCTCCTAGCACCTAGCTGTGATCTACCTTCTTAAGGCATGACCTCAAGGCCATCACTATTATGATCGCAATCCCATACACTCCTTTGCAGACAGATGATAGGTAGGTCGGTAGGTAAGTAGTTAGGTAGATAGATATCCAGAGCATTTGTTCAGTGATTAATATATGCCAGGAACTATGCTAAGTGCAGAGGATATAAAAACATAAGCAAGCAAGAGAGTCCCCTGCCTTCAAAGAACTTATATTCTAATGGGGAAAACAATGCATAGAGAGATGCTGGAAAGAGAGGTTGGGGAACCCTGTGCTGGGGCATTTTAAGGAGACAGCCAGGAAGTATCACAGAGGCCTGGGCCTCAGCAAGATAAGCAAAAGCTCGTCTCTCAGAGCCCAGAGACCCAAAGGTGTAATCCAAGGATCTGGTGGAAGGAAAATGAGGATGATACTCACATTAGTTGACATTTGCATAATACTTAATTGCTTTATTATTATTTACAAAACACATGGCATACATTAACTCATTTGATCCTCACCAAGACTTTCTGAGGGATGTAGCATAGCATTTACAGGTAAGGATACTGAGGCACACAGAAATAAATGACTTGTTATCAAGTTGCAGAATCAGAGCTGGAAACAAGGTTTTCTGATTTCCAATTCAGGGCTCTTTCCACAGTTCCATGTTGGATCATAAATGCTAACACACAGAACAGAGTTTTTTGTGACTGATACAGGACATGGAAAATCTGAAGCTTGTGAATTTAGTTTCTGACTCTGAGCTATTTTGTGACAGCTGCATACATTTTCAATCTGCTAGACCTGGCCGCATTTACCAAAGTATTCAGAATATACCGATGTCATTCAATGTTAACCCCACTTGTGCCTTGCCTCAGTCTCCCTATGAGTAAAGAGATAAGATGTGGGATAATATAAATAGCTTAGACTTTGGAGTCAGGAGAGCTCATTTTTCATCTAGATTCTGTGCAAACTTTTCATATGACCTGGGGCAAGGTTTTTTTTTTTTAAACCTCTCTGAGCCTCAGTTTCCTCAACTGCAAAATGTCTATCTTACTTAGCTCAAAGGACTATTGAGGAGATTAAATAAAAGAATGTATGTAAGGAATTTTATAAATTCTAAAATATTATAGCTACAAATGGAAAATATTTACAATTAGAGCAATAGTTAAGTGAACCATAAATTTTCTTTTTGTTTAGTTCAAGAGATTGTTAAGAGGTAATATAACATTAGAGATTTGAAAATGCTGTACTCAAATAAAATACACCATCACTGTTGATGTCACACTCTCCAGCATTTGGGATGGTACATTGGGACTAGCTGGTTTTAGATTTTTGTTTGATATGAAAAGAACAGCTGATTTACAAATGGAAGACTCTGGGTCAGCCTCTGCTACTTATGACTTGGGGATCTCAGTTTCTTTATCTATAAAATGAGGGGATCATACCAGCTGACTATGAAGGTTTCTTTCAACTCCAGGTCCACAAGCCTATGATGACTTTCTGAAAGGTAAAGGATGCTAAGGACCAAAACTCTGCCTGAGGTAGATACATCGCAGGTAGGTGGTGCAGGCCAAGATAGAGCTCCAGGCCTGGAGTCAGGAAGACATGAGTTCAAATCCAGCTCAGACACTTTACTAGCTGTGTGACCCTGGGCAAGTCACTAAACCCTATTTGCCTTAGTTTCTTCATCTGTAAAAATGAGCTGGAGAAGTAAATAGCAAAGCACTCCAGTATCATTGCCAAGGAAATCCCAAATTGGGTCAGAAAGAGTTGAACACAACTGAAACGACTGAAGCATAACAGCTAAAGACTGATAGACTAGAGTAGTACAAGCTGGCTTGGTTCCCTTTAGGCTGAAGAGAATCTTATGTCCTCACTAGAGCACAAGCGTCCTTTGAGCCCAGAAGTCAAAGTCAGACTCATCATGACTAGGAAGAGGGGAAATATTCCAGGAGTGAATCCAGTCACCCCCTTGTACTATACTGTGTCGGCTGCCAGGAGAGAGTCCTTCCCAGAGGCACAATTAGGAATATTTGCACCTGGGGCAAGGACCACAAAACCTGCCTTCTACCCAGGGAAAGCAGCTGGAAAGGTCAGGTGTGTATTTGAGTCAGTCAGTCAATAAACATTTATTAAGCTCTTATGTGCCAGGCACTGTGGTATGCCCTCGGGATTAAAAAAAAAAAAAAAGGCAAATGATAGCCCCTGGCTTTGAGCAGCTCAGAAAAACAGCCCTAATCACGGAATGGGTGTTGCCTCAGTCAGAGTGAGAACTCAGAAAGACCTTAGCTTAAAAAGGCCAAATGCATCCTGGGCCATCTCTAGTCGTCCTGATCTGTAGCTGACCACAGAACCCAGATGGCTCTGGAGGAGAAAGTGAGGCTGGTGACCTTGCACAGCCCTCCCTCACTTAAATCAAAGTCAATTGCATCATCTTCCTGATGTCACGGTCCTCTTTGAGGATGAAGGACAAAACCACACATAACCTGTGAGTCTAAGGAGACTACAAGGAAATAAATATGTACAAACAAGCTATATAAAGGATCTATAGGAAATAATGAACAGAGGGAAGGTAGTGGAATTAAGAGAGTTTGGGAAAGGCTTCCTGTACAAAATGCCGTTTTAGTTGGTCCTCTGAGGAAGGGAAGTGATAGTTACTACATTTGGATAGGTGGGTAGTGATCAAGACGCTAGGATACCATGGGAGTACTGCTAAGAAGGCCGCCAATCCCAACCCCAACCATCAGATGGCTTCTTATTTAAATAGACTGTGGCAGCTATTTCTAAAACCTAATTAATTATTTCTTCACACTTGGCATCCAGGGAGCTTGATGACTTGGGGATTTGGAAGTGGAGTGATAAATGTAGTGAAGAAATAGATGCTTCTGGTGAAGATGACTTAAAACCAACCTCTTCGAAGCCCTCAAAAGGTTATGTGGGATTCAGAGAGAGCTTACTGATTATCTAACCCAATGGAGTTCTTGACCTGGAGTCCATGAAATTTATATATATGTATGTATGTATGTTTTGTATGTGTATGTGTATGTGTATGTATATGTATGTTTGTATATGTATGTATATATATACACCCATATATACATATAAATGTATATATAAACTGTATTTCAATATAATTGGTTTCCTTTGTAATTTTATGTCTTATTTTATGCATTCAAAAACATTATTTTGAGAAGGGGTCTACGTGATACTACGTGTCTTAGTGATAAGCATCTCTGGGCTTCTCTCCCTCTCTCTTTATAACTTGGTCTTCTTTTTCTACACTTGATATTTGGTATTGCCTTGTTCTCATTTTACCCAGGACTTGATAGGGGTCAGAGCACGGTCAAAGTCTGTCCACCAACTAGGTGGGGTAGTGGACAGAGTGCTAGACTTGGAGTCAGGAAGACCTGAGTTTGATCCAGCCTCAGACACTTACTAGTGTGTGTGGCCCTGGGCAAGTCACGTATCCTCTGTTTGCTTCAATTTCCTCAACTGTTAAATGGGGGCTAATAATAGCAACTACCTCCCAAGCTTGTTATGAGGATCAAATAAATGATATTTGTAAAACCAAAATAAAAAACAAAATTTTAAAAGCTGTCTAGTACAGTGCCTAGCACAGAGTAGGTGCTATATAAATGTTTATTCCCTTCCCACTTCCCCTTATCTATCTTGGTGTTGTCCTTTGTTTTACTGTTTTACTGGAGTTAATCTGCTCCTTTCTTGATGTTTGTATTTTTTAAACTGGATTTTCTTCCCAAATTTCAGATTCCAGGCCCTGGGAAAGATGGGAAAGCCTACAGGGAGGGGAAAGAAATATTTCCTGGGGTGGGGGAGGAAGGTATGTCTTTAGGAAGGCATAGTCTACCATTTTCTCCTTTTCTCCCTAGCACCGTGCACCTGAAGGGACCTTTGCAAGCTTATTGTGGGTAGGTAAGATAAGGATGGACACTTCTTAGCCTTTCCTCTCATCCCTAGGTTGTTCCCTATCCTTAGGCAGGCCACTAGCTGTCTGGCTCCCTCGGCCAGGGCTGAATTGCCTTCCCATCCATAGGCCAAACCAGAACTTAGTGCCTGGAAGCCTTTGTTTTTGCCAGTGGAATCCCAGGAGACAAGCTATTTTCCCAAGATTCTCACTCTTCTTTCTTCATCTTGCCACCTTCTATAACTGGCCCAGACAGTCTGGCTTCTCTTGATGGATAAATTAGATTATCATTAGTCTGACCTAGGACAGATTTCACTTACTTGAGCAAAAACCACTGGGCATTCACCCTAGTTCTGGGTCTTGGCTTAGCTGTTCTCACTTAGAGGTGCCAGGGCTATGCTCATCCGATTCAATTCAATCAATATTTAATGATGGGTGCTGGGAGAAAAAGACAATAGAATCTTACATTTTAAGAATTGTAAAGGACATTAGAGATAACCTAGGCAAGGGGTTGGACTGGACTATCCTTGTGTGGCCTTGTGAAGCCTATGTACTCCTAAGGATAATTTTTTTCTCTTCCTTTCTTCTTTCCTTCAGCAATTAAGATGAAGTGACTTGCTCAGGCTCACAGAGCTAGGAAGTATCTAAGGCTGTATTTGAACCTAGATCATCCTGATTCTAGAACCGGTGCTCTATCAACTGTACCACCTAGCTGTCCCCTAAAGGCTAATGTTTCAGATAAAATACATGTGATCACAAAGGATACCAATTATATTTATATATGTTATATCTACATGTTCAAATGTTTAATACCTATTCTAATTTCATAATTATGTATTATGTAAAATATATAATATCAATATAATTATATATTCTGATATATATTAGATATATATAAATATATTTCAATATAATTGTTTTCCTTTGCAATCTTGTGTATTTTTATTTTATTTATTTAACTTTATTGACTATTTAAAGTAAGATTTTATTTTATTTTATTTTAATTTTGGAGGCAATGGGGGTTAAGTGATTTGCCCAGGGTCACAGTTAGCTAGTAGTGTCTGAGGCTGGATTTGAACTTAGGTCTTCCTGACTCCAGGGCCAATGCTCTATCCAGTGTGCCGCCTAGTTTCCCCTTATTTTTTTTTATTTATAAATTCATGTGCTCTAGGTTAAAGAAGCCGTGATTGAGTAATCCAATGCTCTCATTTTATAGATGAACAAACCAAGTCTGAGAGAAGAGATGTGACTTGGGCAAGGTCACAGGATTGATTAGTGACAGGGTTGGAATCATCTGATGTGAAATCTAGTTTCTTATCTGCTATACCTCTCATATCCAATACACTGCTTTCTGATTTCTACCTCCTGCTCCTGTATTATTTTCTACCTCTTAATTCGACCTCCTCAGCACCTCTGGAATCCTTTTTCGTCTTTGTGCTCACACTACACCCACTCTTGCCCAGACTCTCACTACCTTTTAGTTGAACCATGGAAATAGCTTCCTAACTGCTATTCCTACTTCCCATCTCTCTCTCCTCTCTAGTTCATCTTCTACGGAGCTTCCAACTGATAGCTTCAAAGCCTAGTTCTGGCCATGTCTATCCCCCTGCTCAAGAAAATTCAGTGGTTCCTCTAAGATAAAATGAAAACGCCTCTGTTTTGCATTTAAAGCTCTTGACAGTCTGGCTTCAAACTATCTTTCCAGATTGATTTCACATTATCTTCCCTCACACACTCTACATTTGAGCCAAACTGGCCATTTTCCTGTTCTCCATAAACAGCATTCCATCCCCTATCTCCATAACGTTGCCCAGGCTGCCCTACACATTTGGAATGCTTGCCCTCCTTCCCTCCTCCTTTGGTAACCCTTAATGTCCTTGAAGGATTTGCTCTGCTGCCACCTCCTTCAAGAGTCTTTTTCTGATTCCTCTAGTTATTAGTTGTTAGTGTCCCTCCAAAAGAAACACTCTGTGTTCTCTCTCCTCTCCTCTCCTCTCCTCTCCTTTCCTCTCCCCTCCTCTCCTCTCCTCTCCTTTCCTCTCCTCTCCTTTCCTCTCCCCTCCTCTCCTCTCCTCTCCTTTTTTTCTCTTTCTCTGCCTGTCCACATTTGTATGTGTGTGTGTGTGTGTGTTTGTGTGTGTGTGTGTGTGTGTGTGTGACATATATTGATCTTGTCTTAATCTATGAAAATGTTTATAGAACATAAACTTTTTGGGGGTCTGGGACTGCCTTTGCTTTTTCTTTTAGTTCCCTCACCCTGGGCAGTGCTGGGAATATAATAGGTCCTAAATGATTAATGGATGGATGGATATATGTGTAAAAACTTTATGAACTGCCGACACCATTGGAAATGTAAAATGTGGTGCTGTTGCTGCTGCTGCTGTTGCTGAAGATGAAGATGAAAGTGAAAATTCCCCCCTGGTCCCAAGCATGCCATTCTGTCAGGACTTAGTAATCACTCCTGGTGAGAAAGCAGTGGCTTGAAGTGACGCTGATGTTGTTCCGTGGGAGTACACTCACTCTAACACTTCTGCACCCCTAGAATTGGAGCCAACGATGACCGTGGTTCACTGCGAGGTACTTAATCCTCTTTCATTTTAGAAAAAACAGACCAGCTAGATCATTTTCAAAAGCAATAGCTTCAAGATTACATATAAAAGTTTACCACTTTCATATGTTAACCAGATTTGAGTTGTTCACCTCTCCAAAGTCCATTAAAAGTGATGTATGTTTATTTATTATTTTGCCAGACAGCAAGAATGCAGGCTTTCTTGAACTGTCCCATCAATCACTTCATCCCTGGGTTGGAGTGTTGCTGTGCTGAAGGGCTGAGAGGTGATTTACTAGACCAGAGCATCCAGCTTAGCCTCCGGTTTATCTCCTGAAGAGACTGGCGTCTGCTAATCTTGGAAAAGAGGTGGGGGTTCTTTTTTCAGGGAATTACTATCTCTGTTGGAGACTGAAATAAGAGAAGGACAAACTGCTGGGGGAGGGATAAAAAAGCTACATTTGGAGCCAAAATGAATTTTGGCCACGAGGAGAATGCCTAGTAGGTCTGTAGTGCTGAGTATGGTGAAATCTACCTTGAGCTCATAGTATGAACTGATCTAGGAAGGCAAGACAGATTCATTCAAAGTAACCCGTCCTGCTCAGCCATTTTCTAGGTCTTATTTCTTCTCTTCAAAATAAAGAGGATATCTTACGGTAAAAACACCCAATACAGAAGTGGTGAGGAAGCTGCTGTAAGTCAAGACTCAAGCTGAAAATGACTGTCATTGTGATTCCTGATCCCTCAGTGAGAAAGGGCAAGGATGAATAAGGAAACTGAGGCAAAAGAGGAAAGAAATGTCACAAAGCCTACCCCGAAGAGGTCAGTATGTCCAAAACCAAGCTTGTTGCCTTTTCTTCTGACTTATTTGACTATACCTTTGCACTTGCTCTTCTCTGTACCTGGACTGCACACCCATCTCTCTGAGATAGTTAATCTAAAGTAATTAGATTATGCACACCCATCGCTCTTAGAATCCCTGGAATCCTTCAAGCTCAGCTCAAATGCTACCTTCTGCAAGAAGCATTCCCTGATCTGCCTCGCTCTTAATGTCTTAACCTCCAAAGTGCCTTATAAATTATGTACATATTATATACACGTATGTGAACACATCACATGTGTGTATATGTATACATGTATATATACTATAAACTCCTCAAGGTCGAGGGCAGTTTTCGCTTTTATCTTTGTATTCCCAACATATGATACAGTGCTTGGCACATAGTAAGTGCTTAATAAATGTTTATGTTTGTTGATTGATAGGAGCTTTATGTGATCATGGAAAGATCACTGGGAATTCAGGATACTTGGGTATAGTACTGGCTCTGACAATCACTACTTATGTGACATTGGGTAAATCTCTTAACATCCCTGATCTTCTTCATCTATGAGATGAAGGGTAGGGATGGTGAGAAGAAGACGACTGGACTAGTTGATCAATCATGTCCAATTCCAATTCTAATAGTCTATTCATCTATAACTAAACACCATGAATATGAATTTTAAGAGGATATTTGACATGGATTGTATGGATTATATCCATATTACATGGATTGTAATGTCTGTGTTCATGATACAGAGAGTGTGAGATGGATGACAGTATAATTAGGTGGATTTGTAGATGATAGAATAACTGTACACAAGGAGTGTTGGGGCAAGGAAGAGATAGAGACAGAGAAAAAAGACAGAGACACACAAAGGACAGAGACAGAGAGATGGAGGAGAGAGGGAAAAGGAGGGGGAGAGAGAGAGAGAGAGAGAGAGACAGAGAGAGAGAGAGACAGAGACAGAGACAGAGACAGAGACAGAGAGACAGAGAGAGAGAGAATTGAAGTCCCCCTAGAAAATGGTTAATGTCATGTCAAGGATTCTCTCCTCAGTACTATCCTATTTAATTTTCCATCATTGACCTTAGTTTAATGGAAGGTAAAATTTCCTAACAATGAGAGTTGCCCAATGTGGAATGGGTGGCCATAGTAGATAAGGTATTCTTTATCACTGTACATTTTCAAGCAGAGACTGTATGACCACTCCCATTTAGACATGGCATGGATTACATGATCTTAGAGGTCCTTTCTAATTCTGAGATTTTGGAGTTCTGGATAAAGACATGGAAAGTATTTTTTTATTCAATTTTCTTATAACATGAGGCTAGTAGGGATAGCTGACATGTTGGATGATAGAATCAAGATTTTTGAAAGGCCCCAATTGTCTAGAATGTCAGCCAAAGGCAACAAGAGATAAATGTAAAGTCTTGCACTTTGATTAAACAAAACAAAATAAATGGCACAAATACTGGGCTGGGGTAGAAAGAAATCCTGGCTAGGCAGTAGTTTATGGGTAAAATGTCTTAGGGTTTTGAATTGGCTGCAAGAACAGTATGAAGAAATAGTATGGCCTGACTGCCTGATCAAGTTAATACAAGCCTGGGCTGAATTAAGCACAGTGTACTGAACAAGGGGGTGTTAGTGTCATTGCTGTATTCTGTGCTGGTTAGACTATATTCAAATTCTGCACTTTGAGAAAATTACTTTGGCAGCTAAATGGAGGATGGATGGAGTGAGGAGAGACTTGAGGCAGGCAGACCCACCAGCAGGCTACTGCAGTAGTCCAGGCATGAGATGATGAGGGCCTGATCCAGGGTGGTGGCAGTGTCAGAGGAGAGAAGAGGACATACACAAGAAATGTTACAAAAATGAAGTTGACAGTTCTTGGCAACAGATTGAATATGGGGGAGAGAGAAACTGAGGACTTGAGGATGAAACCTGGGTTGCAAACCTGAGGACTGGGTGGATGATGGTGCCCTCAGCAGTAACAGGAAAGTTATCTGATTGTGCCATCTATGACTATGACTCAGGAATTGCACAGCAGGAATTCTTGTATCAGGTCAGGGTTTGGACTAAATGTCCCTTGAAACTCTTAGGTACCATAATTAAATAAGACTAAACACAAATATTGGAAAGCAATCTCCATTACTCACAGAGCTGTCTTCAATAAAGCAATTGTGTGTTCAATATGAGTACTGCAGGGGAAAAGGACAAAAGAAAGCTGCTGTGTTAGAATCCTGCTGTCAGACCTGAAAAAGAGATGGCTTTGAAGGAATAGTTGTCTTCAAATATTTAAAAGGGATGTCATCTGGAAGAGTGAGAAGGCTTATTTTTTGGAGCATCAGAAGGTAGAACAAGGAGGATTCAGTAAGATAGATTTCCTTTCAGTTGAAGAAATTCCACCAGACCAGCAACGTGTGCTCTCTTGAAGGTGACTGTTCCCGAAGCACCCTTTAATTGTCACATATTGCAGCCCTAGTCATATTCTTAAGCTCCCAAGATGGTATCTTTCTACCAAAGTGAATCAACACAATATCTTATGATGGTCTGATCATACTATGTGTTATGTTATGGTGAGTTTGAAACTGAGCCACCCCATTTTAGCTTTGATACCTTTACTGATGGGAACATATTTCAACCAATCAATCCAATCAACCAAAACCCTTAAACCAGAACATGATTGCCTAGGAATCAGTGTTGGGATAGGCCAGGAAATATGACCATGACTCAAAGATCTACTATAAATTATCAAACAAATTGAGAAGGGAGAGAATTTAAGAAACTTAAGAATTTAAGAAACTGGAATAAGCATGGAGTCCTAACTGAATACTCTTAGAAGAGGGAGGACAGGCCTTGGTTACACTTTGTCAGGTCTCCCTGCCCCTTTGACCAGAAGATGACCTACCTTCTTCAAAGGGCCCAAAGACTGTTGAACTTTCTATCTTCTCATCAATGTCCTAAATAGTATTACTAGCTCAGCTAGAGACAATATCTTACATTATTGGGAGTCAAGGACAGACTAGATCAATGCCTTTGTAGAGGAGTCCAGTAAAGAGAGTAGGCCATGCATAAGCATGGTCTCCTTGAACATCCCACAAATGGAATAAAAGGACTTCCAGCAACCAGGAGCGATGTTACCACTTCGTCACATGAGTTCCCTAAGTCTGAGCCCACCTTTCCCTGGTGTCTGTATGTTCTTAGGGAAAAGTGTCACCTTATTTTTAGGGGGAGTGGAGGATATTTTGCACCAAACTGTTTTTATTATACTCCCTTTGGTAAGAACTCCTTTCTAAAAGCTACTTAAGGAGGGCTGATTAAGAGATAATCAATGATAAGATTAGGCAGAAGTACAACACCGGTGGGGTCTTGAACCAATGGCATTAGAGAAAGTCAACCATAGCCACTGTGGGGTAGCCCTGAGGCCCAGAAGAAGAGGCATAACCAGCCTAACTTTGAGAACCTGTCTCAGTGAGGGGTGGGGCATCTATATAAGGATACTTGAGAGTTTATATGGACTACATGTAGAAAGTAATAGTAGATCTTCTCTCTGTGCTGCCAAAGGATTAATTAACTAAGCTCTGTAAAGTTTCCTTGAAAATGGAAAGTTCAGTATGATTATGAAGTAATATTTTAATTAGACATTACAACAAAATAAAGTTCTTTTCCATGCTGTAATATTATTATTGAAAATTCTGAAATAACTTGTTGGGCTTCCTTTACATCTTACAAGGCTTATATTTTATGGCTGTGAGGTCACATCTATGAAATAAACCCTGACTTTCTGACAATTTGACTGTGAAGTACGCCATTATGCTCTAATAGTCTGTCATGGTATTTCTGCTGGCTGGAAAGGTCCTTCCATTCCATCACTAATGATATCATCTGTATTTCTGTTTCACCTGTGTACTTTGCAAAAACAAGATGCCAAACAGATTCTGTGGTTGGCTGGGGTCGGGGGAGAGGAGGGCTCCTTTGGGGGAACCAGTAAGCAAAGAAAAAAAGGGGGTTTGTTTGTTTTCGAGATTATGTCTTCTTATCTCACCCAAGCTGAAAGTGCAGTGGTCACTCATGGGCTAGCCCAGGGGTGGAGAATCTGTGGCCTCGAGGCCACATGTAACCCTGTAGGTCCTCAAGTGAGGCCCTTTGACTGAATCCAAACTTCACAGAACAAATCATTTTATTAAGGATTTGGGAATTGATTGTCTAGATTATCAAAAACTTTATTAAGGGGATTTGTTCTGTGAAGTTTGGATTCAGTCAAAGGGCCGCACTTGAGGACCTTGAAGGCCACATGTAGCCTTGAGGCGGAAGTCCACCCCTGGGCTAGCCTGATTGACCCCAAAGCTTTGATTGATATTTCCAACCTGTACTAGCTCTCCCTTACTTAGGAAGCTTGATCTCCTGCCCCCAACACACTCTCCCTGGGGTTCACCAGATTGGTGCTGAACTTGGTACAGATATTTGATCTGCTTTATCCTACTGGGGCTTAGGAGTCCTGAGTTCAAGTGATCCACCAGCCTTAAGCTCTCTTGCAGCAGAGATGACATTCCTATCTAGGAAACAAGGTTAAGTGAAGTGCTTGGAGAAGATAAAAATAAGGGGATCAAAGAAAAAGAGGAATGAAATATATTAACTACAAATAATAACCCCAAATGAATAATAACAGATTGTACCTTGTTTATACTCCTAACTTTTTTTCAAAGTCTTCATAAATAGATGAATGAACTAGGCTAAGAGAAGGGTAGAACAGACCTTTGGTTACAAAGGTCAAGTAGAGTGATTGTTGCCAGATTATGAAATACATCAAATACCCAAATTCTTACACAGTAAATGAAGGATCGTTCACCCTCTTCTTTCTCTTTCTCTGGGGCATGTGTTGCCCTTTCTGTCATATATGATACCCACCACAGGATAGTTATAAAAGTGATATGTAATTGTGCATAAACCCATCTGATAAAATTCAGATAGGCAGCTTCAGGCTGAATCTAACCACAACTTTCATCTTCCCTCACTTCTCCAAATCTGTACCCTGTGTGTGCTTTAGAGCTCCCCATCACCCTCCCCGACTAACACAGAAATCCATTTATACCCAGCCTTGCCCCAACAGGAAAGACCCAGAATCAAACACCTCTGATTCTTCCTAGCCTGACCTTACTCTCTCCTTTGAACTTGCCCTATTCCCCTCACCATGCTTTATCATACCAATAGATATAGGCTAAGTCCACTCCCCTTAGAGTGATCCCTTCTCACAATAGGGCTGCCTCATACAACCTTAGCAGCTGCGCAAGTATAAGTAACGGCCATTCCATCGAGCTGTTGCCCTGGCTGCTCTACATCCCAGGGGAACCCTGACCCCCATACTGTACAGAATATCCTAATCTCTTCTGCCTCCACACTCTGTGATCCCTCTTCTTCTCCCACCTCAGCCTACAGACTGTCAGAATCTATGGAGAATTTACATGAGGGCAATGGAAGCTGATTCCTACAATGGCATCAAGACAAGTAGTCTTTGTGCGTTGTTACCACAAACTTTAGAGCTGGACTAAAATCTGGGGAAACATGGTTTGAGGTAGAAAATGGTGATGAGTGTGAGCTCGGTAAAAACTATGATCCAGCAAAAACCTCAAAATAGAACTCTGCTTCAGAGTCTGCTATATTTTTTACAAATGTATACAAATTTGAATGTTCATTTAATAAGACTGAGCATGTCTGTGTTTTCCTCCCATAAAAACTATAATCTCGGTGCAATCTTACCCAGTCCTCCTCGCTGGAAAGATGGAAATGATCTTTCCATTGTTCCCTCCTGTCCCATAAGCCCGGTCTTAAAACAGTATCTACGTGCAC